ATTTAACTCCATTCCAGTAACAATCGTCGCCAGTATAGCAAGAGATCACTACAAAGATAAAAAAACGTTTGTTTGTTTGTTTGTCTGTTATGGCGATCCTGACCTCGTCATTTATACACTCAAATAATAATTTAAATTATAATACATTTGGTATAAAATACTATATCAAACAAATCCGCGGTCTGGATAATATTATGGTGCTACTTCTTGAATGACACTTCTAAACATTGTCATAAACAGTTATGTAAATTGTATAGAAATACACGTCAACAGGAGCATATAAATCCGACATTGATTCTGTACTTCCCTGCATATAATAGTAAAACGATTCCACCCAGTCAGTACCGTCAGGTACATATTAGCGAACATCATTTAGTTAGCCTTACTACACGTAAATGTAACTAACAAACTACACTGCTGTACACTGTGGTCTTATATTGGTTGAACATGTCTGCACTGAATCAACATGAAGTTCATACAGTCACTCTCCAAGTGAACACTGGAATTTTTAGTGGAAAAATGTTACAAACAAACAAAATATGCGACTATTTAAAAAGTAGGTTACATAAATAACAGAATAATTTTCTTTTTGCATGTATAGTTTCACTTAAGTTTCCATTTCGTAAGCATTTAGGGCACAACACATTGGCAAATTGTGAAATGTATGACAAATTGACGCATGAGACTTGAAACATTGGCCGAGATACAAGTTTGTTTCCCTGTTTATAAAAGACGTAATGTCATTATTGTTCAATGTCTCATTATGTTGCAATCATACTACCCACTGTTAAGTATAACTAAACAACCAAACGACGCCAAACATCGCGTGTATTACTTGATTGAGTGAAATTATATTCTGATCTTCCTGTCTCATCGATTATTGGTTACATATATCATAATTTCCCCAGACATTGTAAACCAATACGATTTGTAAAATGCTTTAGGGTACTTAGCAGTCAACAATGGTCACACCAATCAGGAATTATGACTAAGATTGGCTCATGCCATTGACCATGACAGAATGGCAGTTTAATTTAAGCAACCAATATAATGCTCAACATGTTGATTTCATAATATATGATGATTCAGCTGGTGTGAACCTTTTTTTCTTTTGTCGTGTTCATTATTTGATTAATTAACTGACATAATTTAATCATTAGTTGTGTAACACATCCGTATTGAACATGTTGTTTTAAATAGTAAAAACGAATTAGAGCATATTAAATCAGACTTGATTGCGTAAACTTCCTGATGTTCTTAAGACCGAGAACGGCAGAAAACAAAAATAAACACCGCAATGAATGTCGTCATACTCCAAGGCAATACATCGCCCTGGCGACGGACACTCCAGACATGAGCTGGCTCAATTCTTCCTGGTTTTGGAAAGTCAATTGTAAATGACCGGACAAATTTTAGACTTTCTGTTGTAACATGTGGCGTTACCGGCCAAATCCAGTATTCCGCGGCAACTCAATCACTTCAGCAAAATATACTGTGACACCGGCAGCAACACGCTCGGCATAGTTGATATTCAGTAAGAATCTGACTCGACCTATTTTGACATGTCGACCAGCATGGGAACGATTACTTTGACTTGTCTTTGCAACATAATCTTAAATCTTACATCATAAATAAGTATTCAGTTTGACGATTATATAATTAATAAATTATAGATAATGTTTGC